TATGGGTTCTACATCTATAGATCAATTTTAATAATAATAATTCTTTTATAATTATAATGTTTATTTGTAATTTTCTATTATACTAATTACTTTTATCATCATTCTTTTTTTAAACTTAATGACAATTATACTAAGAGTTAAATAAAATAGGTTTAATTTGCTTATTTTGATATCTTTTATAAATATATGAATACTTATTATCTTTTTTATAAATCTTTACAATCTTAAATATTAATAAACTTGCAACAACTTCATCAATGTTATTTATTTCTAATTTAACATTTATTAAAAAAACATTTATAACTATCTCAAAATCTATATGTGTGTTGTTTTCTTTCACAATATCTATAAATTTTTCATATACTATATGTTCATGCTCTTCAGATTTTAGAACATTTTCTTTTGTTTTACAAATATAATTCAAAAATTGATCTTTACATTTCCTTTTTTTACTTTCATTTGCACAGTTTAAATACTTAAAACATGTTTTTTTATTTATTTTAGAATACAATAATGGGGTTTACTGTTTGATATAACAAACATAAATGCATACTTTCCATTTTAGAATATTATAATAAATTCAAAGAACTAAATTTCGCTGTAAAAAAGTTTTTATCATTGTGTGTATTATCAAAATACTGATCGTCATTATTATTTTAATTTTAATATCGGCAAATAAATTTAAGCTCTGTATTATGTTCCTAATTTTGGTGGCTATACTAGGTGCGTCGATTGTTGTACATCAAATATAATTGAAGGCCCGATTGCAGGTTTTTCTTGACGGCACTCACATGTTATATTACATATCGATATTCCTGGTTTAGCATTTAAATGAATACCCCAGTATGACCATGAAAGATCATCGACACACTTCTGCGCACTAATAAATATGATAAGGAACTCTAACCTTAGTGTAGATCATCGATCTTACTGGAAGCAACCAACAGGAGGAACCGTTGATGTTACTGGAAGCAACCAATGAAGCAACCAATGCTGTACTAACATTTAGCAATAGATCACATGATCCTTTTAAAAAATTAAACTTTATTTAGTATGGGTTGTATGGGTTTAAGTCTTTATATATGTGAAATATATAAGGTTCCGCCACATAATTAAATTAGAAAGTTTTAATATAAAGGAAAAAAGGTTCTACGTAAAATACATGACAAAGTATTAAAGCGAAAATTTCTTTATGTTTACTATGTATTGTTTTTCTTCAATAAAAGAAAGAATGAAAAAATTACCAATAAATAAATGATATCGTGATTATTTTTACAAATTAAGCTGATGTATAACTTTCTCTCCCGCCTTCTATGTCAGTGAATATAGGTAGTCTTCGGCTTGCATATAATGCTGACACCGTTTCCCTTCTTTCAGCACTTGATGTATCACCGTAATCATCATAATCATCATATTCTTCGTCGCTATTATACGATTCTTCATTCATTTCAAATCTTGGATTAAAATCTCTCAGTTTATTTTTCCTGCTCACTCTTGTGCTCATAGTTCGGTTCACCCATCCTTTCATTATTGAATCAAATTTTGATTTTTTAGCTTCTAATTTTTCGTCTACACCTACTGTATCACTACTAGATTCGATTATATCATCAGGATAGACGAAAAGTGTATGTATTTCTTTGATGGCACGATATCCTTTACAATTAGCGACGTGTTCATCTTCAACACGGATGATACACCACATCAAACGTCTAAAAAAAAAAGTAAGACGAAATGAGTTTTGAAAGTGATGAAAGAATCCATAACCATTTAGTTAACTACCTAAAAACTTCTAAAAAAGCCACTATAATTCCAATATGAAAAATATCGGTACGGAAAATTAAAAACAAAATCCAAGAAAACCTTAGGATCAAGTTGATAACGATGGAAACCTTATATATATATTGGTTTTTAAATCCTAGTTCATCTCTTAACAAATAGTTAGAAGAATGAATTTGTAATAAAGACCAATCCATTTTTACATCCCAAGTAAATGTATATATAGAGGAAATTGTCTGAACTACGACCCAACAAATTGTGGTTAAATTGTTGCCAACTAAAAGTTTGTAAAAATGTTGTCATGTTAAATTATAAACATTATGACAATTCAAAAAAAATAATAAATACCAACCATTCCTTAATTGAATCCAAAAAAAAAACGTAGAAATTATGACTGATAAATATTTTAAAATGTTGACCAGATGTATCATTTCTCTAGTATCCCAAAGACGCTTTAAACATTGCAATATACGCAACCATTGTGGGATAGAGCTTATAAAAGGCTGAAGAATATTCGTAGTAATTTCTTTAAAGTAACTTGAACCATAACAAGAAGCATGAATCCCGCTCCCTAGCATTTTGACATTGTAGTTAAAGGTTAATATGAGATTAAATTTAAAATTACATTGAATGTTTCAACAAAAAACGTACATGGATGACAAAAAGATAGTTGTATAGCAATAAAAGTATAAGATAAGCTGTTCAGTACATCAGCAATAAAGAAATCTCGAAATTCTATGCCAAACCAAAAAGGAGCTATGATACGACCCTACCAAAATGAAACGAATATATTAAAATTTCATGCAGAGTTACATTAATCTTAATATTCCCAATAAATATTCCATACCAAAGTAAGAATGAACCAGCGTCTTGCATTATAATGAAGTATACGAATAGGACAGAACAGAGTAACGGCAGTGACGATGAATGCTACGGCTAAATATATGTCAATATCGTCATAATCAAAACCAAATAAATTGGAATAGTCCGAATACATCATAAAACTAAGAAGTAGAAACATAAACGAAGGAAGCTATTATTTTTTTTAAATAACAACAAATAATAACATGGTATTAATATATCTTTTATATTTATTTTATCTTATTTTTATTTTTTAATGAATGATATTAAGAAACCTACCTCCAAATATTGATAGACGCCCAGATTGTTTCTTGGATCAAGTTCGAATATAAATTTGTAGTTTATATGTGTTTTTTCCCACAAACTCATAGCAGCGCCCATAAGTAGAGCGAAAACTGTCGGGATAAATAGTCCCATATAGAATCGCAAATGCAACGGATTATCATTATTTTGAACTAGATAATACAATAAAGATAGTGATAATCCTAGACATAATCCCACTCGTAATGCGGCAGTATGATATGTCTATTAAAAATATATTTGAGATATAAATTTATAGTATGCTCAAGTCGATGATATTAAAAAAAAAAATGAACATGACATACATTCGTTCTATTATGTGACCTAAGTTTTTTAATCGCTTGTTTTCTTGATTCTTCGAAATGATTACTGTAAAAAGTCTATAAATAATTATATAAGTATTTTATCTGTAATCAAAGAAACCCAAACTACTACAAATTTTACCTCTATTTCTTTCATTAATCGGTCTAATCCTCTGGACTTTACAAAACTACTTTCAGAAACTTTCTGCATATAATATTCACTTCCATTTATTCCCGTTATCTTATCATATCTCTTTAGGAGCTCGGCGAAGCCTCTTTTATTAAGTTGCTAAATCAATTTGAAAGAAATAGTTAATAACTTGAAATGAATTTCAATAAAATAAATAAATTATTTTATTACTCGATAGTTTTTTAATAATTCAGCGCCCCGATATAATTCGAACGCAGCTTTTTTTATTTTTTTTTTCGCGTTTTTATACTTGGAACTTGGAATATGTGACTTTTCGTCCGAAAATTCTGCGTATGATGATGATTTTCTTAAGAATTTTGGAGCAAAATCTCCAATAGACTACAACAAAAAAACCCCTATTATTTGAGGAAATCATGTACGTTATAAATACTATCATGCCATGTAACATTCCATTCCATACCGTATTTCTTTTAATTTCTCTTCTAAGTTCACTTGAAGGTTTTAGACTTTCATTATAATTCTTTAACTTTTCGAAAAGATAGATTACTTCACCTTCTTTTCCTATTTTTTCAACTTATCATTAAGAATCTGTTTTTATTTATAAAAATTTATCTCACGTGCTTACTTGTGTAAAAACGAGTGACCTTTTCCAATTCTTTGTCTAATGACAAGAAAAATGCAGTTTCTTCAGGGCTCGATTGTTCCAGTAATGTTTCAATAGATGTAATAGGAATTTTTGTGGCTAAAGAAAAATAAATAAATATTATTTAATGAATAACCCAAATACCTGAAGATTGAAAGACTTACTATGTTCGGGAATAGATGGTTGCTTCGTCCAATGAGACAATTTATACGACACTTTATTAAGCAAAACATTTGCACTTTCAGCCATACTAGTCAAACTCATTGCTCTTTGTGACAGTGATTTTTGTGAGTGTGATCTTTGTGAAGTGAATGAGGGTCGTCGCGCTGCTGGCCTGGAAAGAAAAGAGGCGGTTCTATGCGATTGATTATCATTATATTGCATAGACAATTGAATGTCTCTTAGTTTTCTCAGTAAGCCTTTATAGTCGATATACCTTTTTTTTTTATAAAATATAACAGGAATGATTAAATGTATCGAGATAAAAAATGGATATTATGATAACATTGAAAGAGCAATTACTTTTCTTTCCATTCTTGTACCGATTTAGTTTGAATTACTTTAGCAAATTCCATCGCATTCAGTCACAATTTACCCGAGTTAATGAAATAGACACTGGAAAAGAATTATAAATTTTACAACAAAAAATACTTTAAACGATATTTTTCGTTTATTTATATATTTACATATTTCAGTTGAAATCGACGTGATCCTTCCATATTTGCGTAGAATATGATTTTGATAGACCGATTAACGTTGCGGGCGCAAAAATTAACTACATGATGAGATCATGATAATTTTAAAATAAAATAGATAAATAAGGACGTGGTATTTTGTCTGTTTTTGTTATTACCCCATCCGGAATACTTATCATGACTAAATCCTAATTTTTATTTAAACAATTATTTTCGCGATTAATGATGATTTATAAACTAATAAAGAACGTATTTTGCGATTATTTATATCGACAATAATTATTAGTAAATACAGAATGTTTGCAGCAAGTGCATTGAATTATATTTATCTCACTAAATGCAAAATATTTAAGTACACTTTTTGTCGACTTTCCCATTGACTCTGAAAAACGCGCTTAAGAGAGAATCAGTCCACTAAGAGTTGCGACCCAAATATGAATATGCGCTAAAGTCAATTAATATTGATCGCATAAAAAAATATGCGACCGTACAGTACACCGGCTGTCAGAAAAATTTTCGATATCTCCAAGTGAGGGAGCATCATTATATATAAATTTCTATAGTCTATTGAGATGCGTAAAAATTGGCTAGACAGAGGGGAAATGCGCGTTATCTATATAAATCAAAGGACCAAAAATTTTTCGTAATAGGTTGGCGAAGCGTAATCGGTCGGACAAATTATTGGGTGATATGTGACGCCTCCCTCGCAACATATATCATCCAATCATTTGGTTGCGCAAAAGTACCGTCATTTGTCGATATTGTATACAAAGAATTGTTTCTAGGCTGGCAAACATATGGAGATCATCAATAACAGCAAAATTCTTGTGAAAAACTTCTCAAGATTATGTAAACGCTGATACAAATGCATTAGCCATCCTTGCATTTATTTTATGTGAGGATTAACTTTTATACGGAGATACAAATATATATAAATATTCTCTCCGGCCGATACTCCGACAGCACGTGGTATGATCTTCAGTCAAAATAGAATTGAATTAAGGGTCTAAAAATATTAATTATCCTTGCAGATTCGTGGGGTAATTTTTAATTAGTGATTAATCTTCCCTTTTGAAGTTATAAACATTTGAATTTTTAATTCTGAATATTTTAATTTTGCATTAATATCTTGATAATAGGTTACGTAGCATTAAGCATTTAGACTAAATAGTTTTTGAAGAATAATATAGATATTAATATATTCTGCATCATTGTAAACACGTCTCCCTAAAATCAATTACTGTTTAACTCAATTAATTTTATAGTTTCGATGGCTCAATATGTGCGATTGATTTGTTTATTTAATAATCAATTACGATAATAATTTTTTTTAATTAAGCAATAAAAACTGTAATTTTTTTTTTTATACTTACAATTTATACTGCAAATTGTACAGAAAATACAAAGCATCAGAAACTGTTTGTGAAATAAACCTTGTTCTGAATGGAATCATATATTAAAGAAGTGAAATTATGAAGTTTTGCTTCTTTACTTCATTTTAAAAAAACGTTATTGATGTCAATAATATTTATATTTCTCAAAGGTTTGCTCTTTGCAAAAATTTAGGTTCAACACTTGGAAACATGAATAACATATTTTTTTAATGCAGTAATATGTTCAAGGTTCAACACAAGACTAAACGCCAATTTCTTTATGAATTCCAACCAACGATTTGACAGGCTATCAAAATAATATACTCATCTCATTGGCTAATTCTAAAGTGGAATATTGTGATTATAAGAAGGCTGAAATGGATTTTAAGTATGAATGAATATGATTAAATGCCAGTGATATTAATGTTGCAAATGATAAAGCTATTGAATTAAAAGCAATATTAGTAAAAGTACTATTCATTTATTTTATTGTTATATAAGTTATTCATATAATACATATTTTTTACTTATTCTTAATAAAAATTAAGTTTATTGAGAAATCTGAACCTTTTCTTCAATGAAAAAAATGGTTAAACGCAATTGAAAAACTTGGACCTGTTAAAAAAATTAATAGATTTGAGGTCTTAATTTTCTTGAAAAAAGTAATTTCGTCAAAACTTTCGACATTGCCATATTTTTTATATGAATTTTCACAAATATTTCGCCATAATTACACACTATTGAATGTATTTTAATATCAAAAATTCAAATAATTTGCCAATAATTTCGCCACTTATTAAAATTGGTTTTGTCAACTATGAAAAATTAATTTCAAAAGATTATTATGAAATTGAGCGTTAGTAAAAATGAATATATATATATATATATATATATAGCGAGAATTAAATACAAATGCAACTTGTATATTGCTTTATTACAAAAAAATATGAGTGCTGCAGAACGAAAAGCTAGAAGCGGATTTTTAAGTTTTCATCATGGCGAGTTTAGTCTTGTGAATTCTGATGTTACGTAATTAATAATGTATACAGTATAATAGTCGTTTAGTAAAATTTCGTACGTTATTGTTACTGAAGTTCTTCAGGAGCTAAATTCGCCATGATGAGAACTTAAATATTCTTTTCGCTCTGCAGCACTCATATATATATCGATAAGCTATCAGTATCAATCCTATTTGAGTACAGATGTCTAATTTTTAAACTCCTATACGTGACTGATAAATATACATTTTACAATTTTACATTTCGTACCGTATTGTCTCGAAATAACGCCCGGAGGTGTAGGTTAAAACTTTGACACGAATTAAGCTTAATTTAGGCCGAATTACGATTAATTCGGGCAAAATTTTTAACCTACACTCCAGGGCGTTATTTCGGGTAAATTTCAGTAACATGGATTTCACGTAAATTTCACACATGATATAAAGTACCAGCACTATGGAAAACTCTGGTACACCAATCACATGGAATCATGGTTACGTTTCTTGCACATGGATCATGATTATGATTACGTTTCTTACAAATTATATCTTAACGAAAGCTTACACAAAATTACGTAAAATGACGGTAATTTTATGTCACCTTTTTTTTATACATATGTTTTTGTTGGTTTGGATACAATTAATTGTCAATTTTTTGTTCTATTGATAAAAATTATATTCTATTCTAATTTCTATTGCTCTATTCTATTGTTCTATTGTTCTATTTATTTATTGCTATATTAATATTCAATTATAATCTCTTATTCTATTGACAAAAATTTTATTCTATTCTAAATTCTATTGCTCTGAATTAAATGTATAAAACATATAAAACATATAAAACATATAAACCAATTTTTTTATACTGTTTAAATATGTACCGTGCAAAAGATTTATAGCGATAGCGATAGTATATAGTGTATTTGATTGACAATATATGGCGTATTAAACGAAATTCTAGATTCAACAATAACAAATTGTATTCACAGGACTAAACCAGTAGAAAATTCCACAAGATATATGTTACGGAATTTAAGTGGATTTGGAATTTCTAATTAAATTAGGATTAGGGTAAGAGTGTTCATATGATAAAATCAACCCACAATACTGGTTTTATATAAAAATTCCGTTTCCATTTACAACATATATATTTGAGTACTGGTTAATTATGAATGTATTGACATGGATGGCATTTGCATTTGGCTGAAAATGCAGATTATCATATTTCAATCGTATCGTGGTAATCTCGTACTAAATAACTCATTTATTTTCCGCTAGGAATCAAATTTTACTCCTTATTTCACGAACATCTGCCCATTATGCGAGTTAGATACTAGCTGATATCCTAATTGAAATTCACATGATTGAAGTTTCATGTTTTGCCAATTTACTATTGGATAGTGATTCCGACAATTTATGATCAGCATAGCCAATTTTTGACGTGTACTTATTTCTGCAAATTATCGCAATATTTGTGTAACGTGAGATCAAAATTTCGCCTAGAAAAATCACATTTTGCCAAATTTTACTATATGACATTTCTAATACCAACCCTTAATCCTAGCCCTAACGTTGGCCAAATCTCACGTACTTTTAGCGAAATAACGATCATTTCCTTTTTTGGGCTTGTATCACTTGCAGAAGATATATAAAATTTTATTGGTTAATCGAAATTTTTAAACTTTAACTAATCGTAGAAACTTCTACGTATAAAATCATTATATATGTGACAAAATTGATACCAGCAGAAGTTTTTACCATTAAATATCGATAACTTTGAAGCTAAAACTATAATTTTATTCTAAACAAAATTTTAAAAAATCGAAATTTTATTAAAGAAAAAATTTTAATATACATAAATCAAAAAAAGAATGAACCAAATTAAGGTTGCTATCCATAAGTAATAATTACAAACATTATGGATTACAACCAGGGTTGCAACTCTTGATTACAACCAAGTCTCAAAGTTGCAAATGTCATATTGCTATAAATGTTGTAATAGTTGTAATAGGTTGTAAATATTGTAATAGGTTGTAAGTGCTGTAATATGTTGTAAATACTGTAATAGGTTGTAAGTGTCATAATAGTTATAAGTACTGTAATAAGTTGTAAGTGTCATAATAGGTTGTAAGTACTGTAATATGTTGTAAATATTATAATAGGTAGTAAATATTATAATATTATATTATTTTTGTATAACAATTCTAATTTTTTTTAAGTATATTTTATTAATTTTTTTTTTACATAGGTAGTTGTGCTGATGGTTTTTTTATTAAAAAAATATTAATACTACTACTAATATTATACACTTAATTTTAAAGTTTTAATTTTTTTAGTTATTTTTAAGAGTGTTCAGAAGCAATCTATCATATTAGACTATAACAGATTACTATTTGGAAAATTATTTCTGATTATTATTCTATAATAGAATATTATTAAGTTGATAACACTTTCTTATAAAGAAATAAAAAAAATAAAAAAAAACTAATTTAACTTAAATTAAAAGAGTT